TCCAGATCAGGGGTGTTCTTCCCACTGCACCTTAGGTGCCTGGGTCTGGGGTCTCTTTGTCATAGTGCAGAGTGTGTAGAAAAGTTCCAGAGGTACCTTATCATGTTCTTTTCTCTGCTTGTACCTCTTCAGATAGTTTATAATTTGTCAGAGCTGGAGTTTTGAGCAACTCGTGTTTGGTGGTAGATGCTAATTCAGTAATTCCATTTTCCCAAACATGAAGTTTCTGTCCGGACTTGGCCGTGGATGGGCCTAGGAACTAACAAAACAACCTCTCATCCCCTTGCTTCTCTAGATCATTCCCTGACCCTGACAGATTGGGCCTATAGAGAGCAGGTGGGAGCGAGGACCGTGAAGAGAATATATTTTTCCTCTACTGACTTATGGGCCCTCTGGGGTTCTCAGCAGTGCCTGCCCATGTTGCCCCAACTCCTAGGCCCTGCTCTTCCAGAAGTGTGACCAAGAGTCCCTGCCATGCCTGGTAGCAATTTTGACTCATTCCTTGCTTGGTTACATCGTCACAGCATATTTCTTCTTGGTCCAAGCAAACACCAGAATCATCTACATTTTCCTTCTTACCAAGTTGACTCTGTTCTAATCTCAGAGCAGTGGGTCCACCCCCCCCCCCCCACTCCCCCATCTCCCCCTTACATCGGGAATTCAAAGAAAGAGAACATGCGTTTCATCCTGTTCTTTTAAGATATTTCCGTTTTCACTCTTTCCACCCGTCTTCTGCCCTTTCCCTGGGGGCTTGCCCTGGAGCTGCTAGAGCATGTCCAGTGTTGTTTGGATGGTTGCATGGTTATTGCGACCATTGTTGCCATGGGCACAGTTGAACACTTATGCTCAGCAAGCTGATTCCTTGTAACACTGTGTTCCCTGAGGACCCGGAACACTGGCCTGGGAAAGCTTCCAGAGGCTGCCTGTTCGCTCCCTTCTTTCTCTTTCACACACAGCCATATGTCAAGCACTTAACTTGGCATTGGGTTGGTGCAAGTAAAGAATATCTCACCAGCCCGGCCGGTGTGGCTCAGTGGTTGAGCTTGACCTATGAACCAGGAAGTCTCAATTCAATTCCCCAGCACATGCCCGGATTATAGGCTCGATCCCCAGTGTAGGGTGTGCAGGAGGCAGCCAATCAATGGTTCTCTCTCAGCATCGACGTTTCTGTCTCTCCCATTCTCTCTGAAACCAATAAAAAGAAAATATATAAAAAAGGAATATCCCACCAGGGCCAGTGCACATAGATGATCTGGTGGCAGGATTGGCTCCTCCTTCTTCTCCTCCTCCTTTCTTCTTCTTCTTCTTCATCATCATCATCATAATCACCATCTCTAACTGTAAACTTCAGTTTTTCATCACTTTCCCTGCAACAGGTAGGGGATGGCTTTTCTCCGCATTAGGATAAAAGTGAAACTCAGGGTTGGTTTCCTTTTTGTTAAAGCGTAGTATTCACCTTGGAGGGTGTTTCATTGCTATCATCCATAGATAATCGCCCTTATTCCTGCTAGCTGCTTTTCTTTCTAGCTCCCACTCCAGCCACTCCCACCATTGTCAAAACCACAATTCTGCCGAAACCGGTTTGGTTTGGTGGATAATGTGTCAGCCTACAGACTGAAAGATCCCAGGTTCGATTCTGGTCAAGGGCACATACCTTGGTTGTGGGCACATCTCCAGTAGGGAGTGTGCAGGAGGCAGCTAACCGATGTTTCTCTCTCATCGATGTTTCTAACTCTCTCCCTTCTTCTCTGTAAAAAAATTCAATAAAAAATATATATATTTTTAAAAACAACAACAACAACAACAACAAAAACCCACAACACTGACAGCTTCTGTAACGTTAAAGAAATTAGAGGTAGAGCATTTCATGTTGAAAGTAGGAAAGAAGTATAAATGATATAAAGAATTAGGTCTGGCTCATTTTAATCATCAAGACCACCACTTATTTGTACCAAGGTAATAAATAGATAGCTTCTGGGATTAAGGCTATTAGTGACCATAAATAAATATGTTTATTTAAATATACTTGATTTTGGTCAATGTGATGAGAATGCCCATCAGAGTAAGAGAACGACGGCGCCTGAATTGTTCAGCTTGTGAGAAGGTGGTGTCAGCCCAGCCCAGACTGCTCATTCACTGTGGTTGTCTCACAGCCACTCTCCAAGGCACTTAAAATAGGTTGTTTTTTTGCCCTTAACTTTGGTTTTGACATCTAAATTGAGATATTTACCTACTATAAAATTTACTCCCATAAAGTGTATAGTTCAGTTGGTTTTAATATACTTACAGAATTGTGCAACCATCACCATTATCTAATTCTAGAACTTCTTTCACCCCAAAAAGAAACCCCCATGCTCATTTAGTCACTCCTCATTCTTCTACCCTCAATCCAACCTCAACAACCACCGATTTACTGTCTGTCTCTATAGATTTGCCCTATCCTGGACATTTTTTAAAAATGGCCTTAGGGATTACCCATGTTAGAGAATGTATAATGTATCAATGCACTTTATTCCTTTTTATGTGTGAATATTATTCCATGTGTACATACCACATTTTGTTTATGCATTGATCTGTTGGTGGTCATTGCGTTGTTTCTACTTTTTCGCTATGATGGATAATGCTGTTATAAACATCTGTGTACAGTATTTGTCTGGACCTAATGTTTTTATTTCTCTTGGGTATATCCCTAAGAGTGGATGGGGATGGTCTTATGGTAACTGTGTTTAATTTTTTGAGGAACTTCCAAAGTGGCTGCACATTTTGAATAAAGGTTCCAGTTTCTCCACAGCCTCACTAGAACTTGTTTTTATCTGTCTTTTTATCACAGACATCCTAGTGCGTGTGAAGTACTTTCTCATTGTAGTTTTGATTTGTGTTTCCCAATGTTCAGTATGTTGAACATGGTTTCACGTGCTTATTGGCCAATTTTATTTCTCTGGAAAAATGTCTATTCAAATCCTTTATCTGCTTTTTAATTGAGTTATTTGTATTTCTGTCAAGTTGTAAGAGTTCTTTATTTGTTCTAGATACAAGTTCCTTAGCAAATATATGATTTGCAAATAATTTCTTCCTTTCTATGGTTGTCTTTTTACTTCCTTATGGTATTTCTAACAGCACAAAGGTGTTTTTTTAAATTTTGATATAAATCAGTTTATGTCTTTTTTATTGTTGTTGTTGCTTGTGGTTTTGGTTTCACAGCAAAGAAACCGTTGTCTAACCCAGTGTTACAAGATTTACCTCCATACTTTTATCTAGGCATTTCTTTTGTGGTTTTAATTCCTATAGTTGGGTTTTGAATGGATGAGGTAAGGGTCCTACTTTATTCTTGCACAGATAAATATCCTAGCACCATTTGTTGAAAAGTCTCTTTCCCTGTTGAATTGTCTTGGCATCCTATGGTCAACTGGTTGAAAATCAGTTAACTGTATGGGCTTATTTGTAGACTCTCAACTCTATTCCTTTGATCTCTGTTTCTGTTCTTGTGCCTATACACACTGTCTTTATTGCTCTGACTTTGTAGTATGTTTTGAAATTAACAAGTCTGAGAGAGTCTACCAATTTTATTCTACTTCAAGATTATGTTGGCTGCTCTCAGTCGCTTACATCGCCCTGAGATTTCAGGGTCGCCTAGTCAGTTTCTGCAGTTGCTGAGTGTTCTATTCAATCTTTAGATCACTTAGCTGAATGTTACTAACTTAACAATTTGAGTTTTTAAATTCAGGAACATGCTATGTCTTTCTATTTATGTATGTGTTATTTAATTTTAATGATGCTCAGTAGTTTGTAGTGTACAAGTTTTGCACTTCTTTTGTTAAATTTATTCCTAAGTATGTTATCTTTTTTGCTGCTATTGTTTTTCTTGGTGTTTATTCTCCTATTGTTCACTGCTAGTTTATTCTATTGTTCACTGCTAGACATCAAATTGATTTTTTAAAAATATTACTCTGAAAAAAATATTACTTTGTATCTTGCAAACTTGCTTAACTTTATATATTAGCTTAAGAGTTTTTTAGTGGAATTCTTCGGATTCTCTACATACAAAATCATACCATCTGAAAATAAGATATAACTTTATTTCTTCCTTTCTAGTCTGGATGTACTCTTAAATTTTAACCCTTTTCTTCCTTTCATTATTTTAGCATAAAATAATATTCCCTAAATATATTAGGTAACTGTATATGGTACATGAATGGACAATTTTAATTTTGTAAGTACTTAAATATCTAAATGTATGTTAATTTTATTCTAATGAGTATTAGGAAAAAATAATATAGCTTATTATTTTGTGGTGTTGGCACAAATGTCACTTTATCAGAATATTCTTACCTGAACATCCTATTGAAAAGGACAGACCTTTTTTTTAACAATCCCTCGGTCTTGCTTTATTTTTTTCCTTCATATTATTTACAAATGTACACTTATGTGCCACACACCTGTCACACATGCATGGTCATCGTCTGTTTCTCCCCACCAGGATATGAGTAAGCTCTGTGAGGGAAGAGGCTTTCTTTCTGTCTTTGCTGGATGGCAGTGCCTAGGACATGGGCACTCAGTACATATTTGTTGAATGTTATTTACAACATTTTGAGAAATGCAAGTCAATTTTTAGTTGATTCAAGAAAAAATTTGGATGAGTAGTTGTTCAGGAGATAGACCAATATGGCAAAATTTATAAAGACTGTATGGCATGCTAAGAATTTGGGAAACACTAACTTCAATGGGGAGAGGTAGGATGGAGAATGGAGTTTTTATCATTTTCTGCGAACTGTTGTCTGTTAGACTCTTTTCCCAACCCAGACCAGGGGTCCTTTGAGGCTTCTGAGCTATAACATGTGGAATTAAATATATGTGGGAAAGTGGTTTCTACCACCCGCCACAGAAACCCTCCTGGCAGTATTGAAGGTCATCTGGAAATGTTTGAGGTGCTTTTCGCTGCCCGTGGAAACTTGGCTCATAGGCCGTGTCTTTGCAGGGCTCTGGGTTTGCAGAGAGCCGAAATGACCATGACTGCCAACAAGAATTCCAGCATCACCCACGGAGCTGGAGGCACTAAGGCGCCTCGGGGGACTCTGAGCAGGTGAGTAGGGGAGCATTTGCTGGGGAAATGGGGTTCACTGGAGGGGTTGTCAAGGACCAGCCAAATGGCCTGGGTCTTGGGTAGGATTCTTGCCCAAATGTAAGTGATTATCCTCATGACTCTGACAGTCTCCAGGTAAGTAGTTTGGGCCCAGCTCATGCTGACCATGAAGCAAAAGTAATCTCTAATGTATGTATTATTTTCTAGTTCTGAAAGTCTCCATAGGAGAGAGCAAACAGGGACCGTGAAACAAACTTTGCTTTGTGCTGTTGGAGGAGCCTCGAGCTCCAGGAACGGAGCCAGCAAGCAGCAGCTGGTGATCTTCTGGACGGATCTTTTTTCCAAAGTGGGGACAGCTGGGGGCTACCCCGAGCTGGACTGTGCTATAGCGAAGGAGGCTGACCACAATAGGGGACAAGGGGAGGCAATTATGCACATTAGCACAAGTTCAAGCAGAAGTCCAGGCCTATAAGAATTTAGGCTGGGCTGCAGACAAAGCAGCTTCGGGAATTTTAGTCAGCGGAACCTGTAATCTACTTTGTTGGTTTTGTCTTCTTTTTTAAAAGTGGGAATGTTGGACCATGGCAAAACCACGATTTTGGACTCACAGAATTGACTTTAAATCCAAGCTTTAACTACTTCCCAAAATGTGAGATTGCAGGGTGTTTTCTTATGCCCTCTAAAATCTTGGTTACTCCTCTGTAAAATAATAATAGTACTTATGTCACAGAGGTGCTGTGGGGACTGACACAATGCATGTCAGTGTTTAGCACAGTGTCTGGCACAAAGGCGCTCAGTAAAGGTTAGGTCCCTCCCTGTGATGGGATAAGAGCTTCCAAAGCTGGCAGGTAGATGTCCAGCGCTCACCAGGGCTGCTCAGGTCTTGGCTAAGGCTGGATGCTGATGTCCTAGAACCGTGGTCGGCAAACTGCGGCTCGCGAGCCACACGCGGCTCTTTGGCCCCTTGAGTGTGGCTCTTCCACCAAATACCACGGCCTGGGCGAGTCTATTTTGAAGAAGTGGCGTTAGAAGAAGTTTAAGTTTAAAAAATTTGGCTCTCAAAAGAAATTTCAATCGCTGTACTGTTGAAACTTGGCTCTGTTGGCTAATGAGTTTGCCGACCACTGTCCTAGAAGAAACTCCGGGCTCCTTTATTAAAGCCACGTACCTTTCATAGTCTCTTCTGCTGAATCTCAGGTAGGCAGATTGGGCTTTTGGTACCTCCGCTACTAGAATGGAGACCTAACTGTGAGAAGGATCTTAGCTTAGAGTGGGCTAGGCTGTTCCTGTCTGGGCTGTGCAGTGCCAGGCGGAGTCCAGGGGGGTGCAGCACCCTCAGATCTGGCTAGAGGTGGTGATAGACGTTTGATTCATTTAGAGCTAGAGTCCAGATATGGTCTTTGGAATGGGGTGCAGGATGTAGCCCCTGGGGAGTCACTGGCATGGATGAGGCAGGAGGAGTTCCTTACATCACACCTGTAGGGTTTGGTCCCAGTGGAATTGTTCTGGGTGGGCTGTGCCAACCAGTGGAGACTGGCAGGTTCTGATTTGTTAAGTACCTAAGAGCTTGATACTTAGACAAACAAAATGAATATTCACTCTGTGGCAACAAGGCCCATGCACCCTTTCCAACCTAGACTAGAGTTGCTTGCATGCTGAACTGGGAAAGGCTGAGAATGACAGGATCCATCAACTTCTTGGGTAAAACAGATAGAAAACCCGGCTTCTCCCAGGGCATGTAGTGGCCAAGGAGGATCAGGTGTAGAGCTCAGAGTCTTCGTCTCCCATTGTCTACTTTGCTGGGTTCTCACCAGTCTAGTGGCAGATGGAGACTGGGAAGTAACTACTGTTCCCATAATGAGAGACTGTAGAGGTAGAATAAACATTATATGAGATTGTATGGTTTTATTATTAATTTTTGAAGAAATAGTATATTTAGAACCTGAATTAGAAATTACCAGACCCAGTAGCCCTGTTCATTTTTTTCTTCTAATTTCCACAATGTGCAAGGGTAGATGCATTGTTTATATCAGTCGCAAAGCAGAATCAGGACTGCTGATGGTTCCCCAGTTTCTATTTGGAATGCATATCTATGTGTATTTTTAGAAACTGCTTTTTCTTTAGCTTCCCAGCATGCTTGCCGTCATAACAAGATGGGTGGTGTTTGTAAATATCTGAGCCTCTGATGTGCCTAAAAAAAGCATTTTCCAGCCTTCCTTCTAAGTCTTCCTTTCCTTTCCTTTCCCTCCCTCCCTCCCTCTCTCCCTCTCTTCCTTCCTCTCTTCCTCCCTCCCTCCCTCCCACCCTCCCTCCCTCCCTCCCTCCCTCCCTCCCTCCCTCCCTTCCTTCCTTCCTTCCTTCCTTCCTTCCTTCCTTCCTTCCTTCCTTCCTTCCTTCCTTCCTTCCTTCCTTCCTTCTTCCTTCCTTCTTTCCGTAGCATTTCCACTTCCTTCCTTCCCTCCCTCCCACCCTCCTTTCCTGGGCTTCTGGCCTGGAGTCACAGGCCGCTGTGGCTAGTTACACACTTCTCTCAGAAGTTGCTGCTGGACTGGAAGTGTCATTTTGAAGTTGCCATCTGATGGTTTCTCTGGCTGCCTTTACCCCCAGCCTCTTGGAGAGTGTTCTTGGGGCTGTAGGCAGTAAGTCACCAGTTCATTGAGGAAGTCGTTGCCAGTGAACCCCGAAGGCTTTCCTCAAATGTGCCAGGCTCTGTGGTAGACAGTAGGGTACAAAGAGGGACAATCCATTCTTTTTTCTCAAGAATTTACAGCTTGGATTGGTGACCTTGGCAACTGAATTTCTTAGTTCGACCTTTCAGTAACCTGGAGCCCTTTTATCATTGCCAGCTCAGGAAAAGACTCCCTGGTGTGACTGACAGAAACTTTGACTGGGGAGTATAGGGGTCCTAGGGCCTTCGAAAGCTGGGCCTTTGACTCCCAGGCTGCCTTGGGGACCTCTACATCATGCACATGGAAGCAGAGGAACCCAATGTACTCACAGGCATTTGTATCTAGATTTGGGGACAGAGTGTCCTCTGGGACATGGGAAGCTGATATAAGGCTGATGGGACCCCTGTGGAAGTCAATATATGTATTTGCAAGGCTGTGTCCTTAATTTGAATCCGACTTCACCTGGTGCTACAACTAAGCCGACATGGGTTAAAGGTCATGAATTCCATTCCATTATTAGGTTTTTACGGGTGTTTTGCTAATTTACATTCTTTCTTTTCCGTTGTAAGCTCAGTCTTGATTTGGCAAGATATATACGAAGGAGATAGAACTCTAACTAAGCCTTTTCATTTAATCACCAAAGTTTTGTTCTTTTGCTCTATTTTGGTCTCTTGGAGTAAGTTTCCCTTTCTCTTTGTTGATGAGAATTCACCCTTAGTTGCCAGATATGCCCTCCCTACAGCTGTTCCTACTCCAGCTCAGAAGATTTGGTTGCATCCAATTCTGGGTGTTGGAGGGGGTATTCTCAAAGCTCCTCCAAATTCCAAAGGTCAGGCTTTCTGATGTTGGTGCTGATGAGCTGGGATGGACTGGAAGCAGCTTAATGCCTTGCAAACAAGGAAGTGTTAGGTTTATAGTGAATTCAGCCACCTAGCTGGTGTGAACATGTGGAGATTTCACATGTGCTGTATTTGTAAGACCTGGCAGGCCGCAGGTGCTGCTCTCAGAAGACTTGTGATGCCTGCTGAGTTCCTGAACAGCTTCTTTGCTGTGAAGCTCCAGCACCTGGGTCATTGCAACTTCTAGCAAAGGCTACTACTGTTCTGAGTCCTCTTAGTACCTTCCTAACGGGTCCTGTTAACTCCCTTTTCATTCAGTCCATAGATGTTAAGAAAGGCAGAGCTGAAAAGGAACCTTAGAGTTCATTCAATCTAATCTACCCATGTTACAGATGGGAAACAGATGCAGAGAAGGTACTCCCCAAGTATACAAAGCTAATGGGAGGAAAAACTTAAGGCTAGCTTGCTTGATTCTTCGTTAATTGTTAAGCTCTCTGTTCAGAAACTACTGCTGTCCATGATACGGTGGAACTTGGCCTGGCTTGTGTAGGTTTCACGAGAAGCTCTGGTCTTTTTCCTATCTTTCTTACTGCCCTCTGATGCCAACTTTACATGCCCGTCTGGATGCAAATGATGTTAGTTCGGTTCCTCCCAGCACTTTTCCAGATCTCCCAGTTAGGAAGGATTCCTCTCCCTCGGAATTCGCTCCTAGAGCCCTCAGATGGGAGTGTGCAAATGGCACTTACCCAATAGGGGCTCATCTAGTGGGTGTCGGTGTGGGTCTCATTTCCCAACACAACTGGACCTCCTTGCAAGCACAGTAATACTCTTTTGGAATGTTGGAGTTGGAGGGGAATCTTGGGATTCTTTGGGCCCAGTTGTTTGATGTTACACATGAGGAAGTTAAAGCCCACGTAGCTAATTGACAGTAGAACCATAATTTCAACTCACATGTGCAGGTTTCTGTGCAAAGGAGGGCTTAGTTGGTGATATGGTGAAGTCCAGAGAGGTCTTGAGACTCCACTACTAAAGTGAGGATAGATTCAAACCTGGTTCCTTCAATTTCAGGAAGAGGGTAAGCGCTTACAGGGAAGAAAAATCTCCTGAGAATAGACTGTGGGTAGAAGATAGTATTGCAGAGCCTGTCCTGCCCATGCAGACCATCCCTCAGGAGGACCTGTGGCCTTAATTCCCTGGTTTCCAAAGTTGCTTTCTAACAATCCCAGCATGATGTCATCAGTATTAATTGGTTATTTACTGTTGCATAACAAACACCCCTAAACTAAGGATGACTTAAACATTAGTGCCTTAAAACATTGTGTTAGTGGCTTAAAATTGTCATTTATTTTACTATAAATTACAGTTTGGGTAGGAACATTAGGGAAGGCTCATCTCTGTTTCTTGCAGCATCAGTTGGGGTGGTTTGAAGGTGGGGGTGACCCGCGGCTAAGGGGCTGGAATATCTGAAGGCTTGTTCACTTACAGCTCTGAC